ATGGCCAAATGAAGCTTCATGAACCATTTGCTGTATTTTTTGACCTCACTAGATGGCGCTCTTGGTTTGCTTTGGGGCATGCTTTGAGTAATTTTTTTGAACAGAGAGCACCATCTAGTGGGGTCAGAAAATACAGCAAGTGGTTCATGAAGCTTCATTTGCCATTCAGTACCAGCTACTCGTTTGAAGGAGATTTTCACTGATAGGGATTTGTGTATGTCTGTAAGATGAGCATACTTGCATAGCATATCTGGTTCTGATGAAACGGTGTGTTGCAGCAATGTATGAGCACAAGATCTTTGTACAAGGAGTCATGTGGGAGATCAACAGTTTTGACCAGTGGGGGTAAGTGTCTGTACCGGATCGCAGAGTTTTCTCTGCAATTACAATCTCATGTAATCCTTTTAAATCATTAATATTATAATTAATATTATAATTAATGACCCCACCCCCACAATCCCCACCATCCCCACCTGCTAGAGTTGAACTGGGGAAACAGCTGGCCAAGAAGATTGAGGCAGAGCTGAAGGACACAGCAGAGGTGACATCACATGACTCCTCTACCAACGGCCTCATCAACTTCATTAAGAAGAACCATGCCTGAAGGCTTCTCCCCCCCAGGGACCCATGGGAGATGGCACATAGCAGCCCAGTGACCAGAGTCACTACCAGTACATCCTACCATAGGAACAAATACACTTTATTGTTGTTACTGAATCTGCTACAGAGGGAACATCTGATTTAAGACTGGGAAGATGTTGAACCACCCTACCTCTTCACCCAGTCAGTTGCGACTCATAAGTGTCTGCCGGTCACTTTAATGCTTGTCATCTCTTCATGATGCAACATAATAACATTTATTATATTTCTGTCAAACATACATGTAGATTAAACCTGGGATTTGTGAAAGTATGAAAGTATGAAAGACTGGTCATTAAACAAAGGGAATCCATGTAAGCCTCTCTGTGTGGTTAAAGTCGACACATCATGGCAACCCATGGGCACTGTTTTGGAACAGAAGCTTATTTTGGTTTTCTTTCTCCCCTGGTGATGGGTCTTGAGGTAGCAGGTTACCCCGATATATGTTGGATTTTGTGATATCTGTTGAAGAAGCGGGATGAGATACATACTGGTGGCTAGAGTTTCTTCAGATGAGATATGTAGGAACCTGCAGCCCAGGATATATTTAAACAGGATGAAAATTGGATAGGCCTCTGTAAGTTAGATATTTCAATTTGATATTCATAGGACCATTATTATTGCTTAGTCCAAGTACCTTGCATTGTGCCACTATTTTCCACAAAGTGGCGCTGTTTCCCATAGTCTGGTACAAACAGCTTTTCCGCAGCCAGAAGTTTTTTTTAAAAAAAAGTAAAAAGGCTTCTCTCAAGAAAATGTCAAAATGACAGGATATTCCATTGCTGCTTATTGCTGTAGGTTCATACCATTGTGGTGAAATATTAATGATTCCCAAGCCAGCAGAATGACGGTTTTCATGTATTGAGTTTAGTGGTTTCTGTAAGGCACCCGAGAATTGGGTTAGAAGTGGGATTTAGCAGATTAAGTAAATCAAAAGAAAGACAAAACATGGTCTTTGATATTAATGATAGTACTGAGATAGTATTTTATGTAATAGGCAGAACTTTAACTCTGTCTCATAGTATGCTGAAGCTGCTTACCGCACCATACAACAAATCTGTATCTAAACCAAAAAAAAAAACCTGGGCCATCAGACTGTGATGATGGATGAATAGCGTTGCTAGGCAACAGCACATTAGTTCAAACAGAAGTTATCCCTCATCGTGGTACACTTGGAAGCAAGAATTTTGATTACAGTCTATATTACAGTCTGTATTTCTGAAAGGACTTGTTGACTAATTCAGCTTTTGAACTGGGGGTAAATATACATTTTACAGAATGTATATAACACTAATTACAAAATTAGAACACATTTGCAAATGAATTAGCAAAATTCACTTCTGCATTGTAGGTAATGCTTCACGTGAAGAAATGGATCAATTTCCAGAATGTCTAGGTTACATCACCAAACTAGTGAAATGTATATGATACAGTGAACTGGTGGTACTGGTTTGAGTATGTTTATTTTGGTTATCATGGTTACAGGGTGTGACTTTTCATTGTATGTCTTTCAGTTTTAACACGCACCCCATCATCACAGCCAGAGACCTCAGTCCTATACTGCATCCACACAGGCACAAAGGTTTCAAAGGTTTATTTGGGTCAACAGGGGGCGCCATGTCTTTCCTTTGGCCACCACAACATCCCTGTCAGTAATCGGTCCTGGGTGGTCCCCGGGGTCCGTGGCTCACGGACCCCATTGTTAGGGGCATTCTGGGGTGAGCTGGGCCTGATTTTTAAACCCAGATTTTCTTGACTTGAGAGCCGACAGCTGTGGATACCCTTTAATCTTCCAGCTTCTCCTATGAACAGTAAAGAGTGATAAGTTGACTCAGCTGCACATTTCGTTGTTTGAGCCGGGTGCTCTATAATGAACGTCCCCCCTGCCCAAGCCCACAGCACCCAAGAACCTCATCATTTTTCCCTCTGTGGTTAGAGATTCCTAAACATTATTACATTTCATGTTCATGGGCTACTTTTATTATGCCTGAATCCTTGTTCCCTTTAATCCGCTCTAAATGTTACTCACCTCTTTGCAGGGGAAGACAAACAGCTGCATTACAGATCCTGTGTGGTCTACACCATTTTCAATGCATTTCACACCTAAATTCATATGACACAAGGACACTGAATTTAAATTTTTGAAGCAAACAGAGCCTAACAATGCACTCTGAAATATACTGTCTTTTTTCACGTTTTAGAAAAATAATTGATAATTGCTACCTGCCTAATAGCACAGACAGTGCATTCATACATGTTTAAAATTCTGTTACTCACGAGCATAAAAGCGTGTTAAAAAGCGCACAGCCAATATAAATCCACCCACACATTTGTTTTGGCCTGGAATGCAGAACTCAAGTCTCTTATCATCCCCTTTATCCAAACAGCCACTCTGACGACTCAGCAAACAGCCCTGATGTCTCAACCATAAAGGCAACCTGTTGACACCCATTTTTTCCCTTTTAAAGATACCTGAGCCCTTTAAAGATCAGCACCTGCTTTTGGGGGGCTGCTGCAAAAGACAGAGCAATGCAGAGGAACCCCAAGGCAGCAAAAAACACTCAACAATTAAAAAAAAAATGAATAAATCAAAATGACAGTGTAGGATATTTTACATATACATGCAGCTCTGGAAAAATATTTAAAGACCACAATTATTTGTTTCACTCATTTCTCAGTTTATATGTGTGTGTGTGTGTGTGAATAATAATATTATTGTTCTTCTGGTTCTTCTTCTTCTGGTTCTTCTGTTTCTTATTAATGAAGGGCTTCTTCCTCACTTTATGGGACTTGAGTCCTGCTTCTAGGAGCCTGATATGCCTGCACTTAATGTTTCCCATTCCTTTTGAAGGTCACTTGATGTCATCCTCCGATTTATGAGACACTGCCAAACAAGTTGACGGTCATCTCTGGCATTTAAAGTTACTTCTGCCCTCTACCCTGCTGGTTTTTGGTACCTTGTTCTTGTGTACTGTTTTGTGTGTGTGTGTGTGTGTATATATATATATATATATATATATATAGAGAGAGAGAGAGAGAGAGAGAGAGTATAGTATGTGTCTTTCCTCAGTAGACCAAAAGAGCGCATAATCTTCAATCCTCTGGGAACAAAGATTATCAACATTCCACACCATTTTATTGAAAACATAGCCCTAATTTGCCCATATCAAACAGTCCAAATATGCAGCTGTTAGGGAGACACCCACCATGCACTGGGTTTGGTGGAGAGGAACGAGGATCTTTCAAGCTCAATCACTGACACCAGTGCCTGCCGTCTGGCCGTGATTAAGACCTTCGGGACTGACAATACCACACACCAGTAAGGAATTCCAATATGCAGCAGCGCAGGGCAGAGCTGGACCTTTCCTCTGGGTCTTTGATCTTTTTTATGAGGGTTCACGTTAGATGCCTCTCTCCCCTTTGATCTCAGCTTTGCGTTGACATGAGCAGCATTTTTCACCCTGACAACACTTTTGCTGGTTAGATTAGCTGGCTGCTGTTCCCCCCCCACCCCCCCCCATCAAAACATTTTCAAAATTCCAGGCCAGGCAGATAATCCCCCATCTGATTGGCTAATTGTAACAATAGCTGTTTCATTTGTTTGCTGCGAAATGCCATCATAAACCAATTTTTTTCCTCCACTGAGACATGAAAATCAACTAATAGCAGACGACGTCTGTATTCATTGTGCCCTTTTATGTAGTTTACTAAAACACTTGTAAATCAAACTTACATTTAATAATTAGAAAAATGGCCAAGCAATAGCCTATTACTACAGTGTGCTTAAAATCACGGCAATAAAAATTACACAACAGATGGGATAGCAATAGGTAAAATATACATCAATAATCCTCATCTAACCAGCTGTCAGAGGCTAATGTTGTTATAGGTCACAAAGCCTGCCCCCCCTCCATTTCCCACATTATTTGCTAAATAATGAAGCTGGTGTTTTGGTCAAACAGAATTATGCGGTTACTGAATAGAGTCTTGTTTCCAAGGGCTTTTTTCAGAGCAAGCAGACATCTAATGTTAGGATCTCAGCTATGTCACATGATCTACAATAAACTTAGCATGTCAAGTTTCAATTACAAAAATGACTCAATGGCCCCATAATGACACAAACTCTGGTGCGGGGGAGACTGCGTTCCTGAATAAACGGCCTAATCTTTGGCAGTCGATCTTGAAAGAAGCTGCAAAAGCCACATTCGTAAACCCAACATAAGTTGGCAAAACTGGCAAAAAAATGTTCATACCTGTTTGTCAAACGGAAAACAACTTGGAGTTCACACCCATTTTCACAAACGATGTGTTTCAAGTTTTTGACATTATAGGAAAACAAAGCAAGACAAGACATCACCAAGTTAACTACAAAACCACTTTATTAAAAAAGCAGATTATATCATCTAAGGTTAAAAGACATGTCTGACTTTAACTCATTAAATAACTTTAGACTTTTTATCTTTAGATAAATAAATCTACATTTCCTCTTTTCTTTTCACAAAACATCTAGGAAATCACACATCGAATGATATTTTGAGAGCTACTTACAGGACAGACAGCAGCTATGTTTTTGGACTTTGTGCAAGAAATAAAACTAACCTTATGTACAGCTAACCTAGTGGCAGAGTGTCTGGTGTGTACTGAAAATTGAGTTTTTTTTCCACTGTGAAGGATGTGTTAAGAGAGAATATCCACAATGTCTTCCATTACAAAAGCAACATCAGAGGGAGAAACACTTGGGAGTTATGCTGTGCTCTCTCGTTATTATTTATAATCTTTAATTTCCTTCAGCAGGGGTTCATTGGGCTATTCCCTATTACTCTGTCAATAAACATCCACTGTATCGACTACCAGCACTGAGATGGCAGCAAAACAATGGTATGTGACTTAGTAAAAATGGTTTGTTGTATGATTTCAATACTTCGATTTAAAAACTGGTGAGAAGGGACGTTCTGGTGGGAGAAGACTAACAGACTGTAACTAAGCCCTAAATGCATCAGGTTGGGTAGAGATGTACAGCAATACACAAACCAAGTCCTATGAACTCTGAAATCTCTCACACCTGTGGCCGTACCAGAGCCATGCTAATGTTCAGTAGTATCAGAAAGATCAGCCCCACCCCCCACTGTGTGAGTGACAGCTACAGTAATAGAGGCCCCCATTTATTTGGACCCGGTGGCCTTCATGTCATTTTGCCGTCAACAAAACGCAAGTGGGAGGGTCAGAGCCGGTGCCCCAAGATTGGCAATCATGCAGACAGAGTGACATCATGAATAAATTAAATTAGTAGTTAATTAAATAACTAAGATTCCCAGTCAGCCTCGACCCCCCCCGCCCCCCTTTGGCCACCTTCCTGGAGGGAGGAGCTGATCGGGGGGGATCCAAAACATTCCTCACCATGGTCCACAGCACAGTGCTGATTTCATCATATCAGCAGCTCCTTGCTTTAAGGCGTAGATTTAGAATTTAAAAATTAATAATAAATCTGTCTATTGACTTGGTGAGAAAGTGAGGGGGAATTAAATATCAGTGCTTTTGTTTTCTTTGACCAGTGTCTTAAACACATTAACAGCAAAGAAAGACATTGGAGGGGCCAAAATTGTTAAAAAAAGGAAGAAAAGGCTGCATTCATGTGTAACAGAAATGACAAAGGACAGTGATATCTCACGATAACAGCGAAAAAAGACAGAAATGCAGCACTTCCTCTAATAACAGACAGCTAAACCAGCACTGTACAGTTAAGTTTCTCTCTCACATGCCAGGGATTCATTTGGCCTCTGACTCCATCAGAACGCGCGGCACAAACAACAAACACAAATGGGTCGTAACCATAGGCTATCCGTACACGCAAGCACGAGCATATCTGTATACACGTGTAACAGCCATATACTCTGCATACATTCAACTTCTTTGACGCTGATTGGGTACTTTATGCGAGAAACGTAAATCAGCTGGGGTGAATACGGCCGTCCACGTCGGCGGTGTGTCCGTGCGGTATGGGCGATGTCATGGCGTGCGAGAAGACGGACACGTGGGCGGTGCGACAAGTCCTCTGGCGGCGTGTGCCGTGGAGGCGGCGGGCGGGAGAGCGGCTCTTTTAAGTGCTGCATTCAAGGAGAATGGGCAATTACTCCGGCAGGCAGGTGTCCTTGGCTTGTTACAGGCCGTAATCCATTTATGACGAGGACAGACAGGAGCGGACTAAAGGGGTAAGGAATGCCACCGGACCTGACCCCATGTGCTGGGGGAGTTTCCACAAGGCCTGCTGTGTGGTATGGCTCCCTTAACACACCCAAGTTAGGTCTGGGTGCTACCCTGGTCCACCGACTGAGCCCACAGGCCTCTTCAGAATAAAAACGAAATGTCTCATTTTAGGATTACGGCGGCACAGGATGTGCTTTCAGGATAACATAACCCCCCTCATCTGCTCTAATGAGACAGCCACCGCACCCCATGCCTTTCCCTGGGCATCCCTTCGGCCTCTGATCTTCCTCCGTGGGTTGTTCTGTTATGGTACACAGCGGTGCCCCCCTTTCACAGCTCCGTGACGTGCACAGGGAAGCTGGGCGGTGGGTGAGTTGCAGCCTGTCCCTTGAGCCTGCGGAGGTGGCAGCCGTGGCAAAGCAGGTGGCCCTGGAGCGGGTAGCAGCGCTGGCCCTCCTCGTCGTTCAGCTGGAGCCTACAGTCCTGTGGGGAGGAAGACGTGGATTAGAGAGCCAGGATGGGCCGATCCAACTGCCCCATCCTGCCCAGTGCATCTGACAATGCTTCCTGTGCCAGCCTGAATCCAAAAAATGAGGCACGTTGGATTACAGCAGATCCATGATTCTGGATGGAAAAGGCGGAGTGTTTATTGGTATAAGCCAGGGGGTGTGGCTCAGGGCGCTGGTGATTGGCTCAGCAGGTTAGGCTTCTGTGCCTGTGATTGGGCCTTGTTGGTTCAGGCCCTTGCCTCATTAGAATAATCAAATTTCCAATTGGCCCTTGAGAAAGGCCCTTAACCCCCTAATAAATGTTCCAGGGGCTCTGGATAAATAGCCTGACCCTGCTTTCGGGCCCCAAGCTTCACTCTCAACTGTCTGTCAAAGGAGAGCATGATGGGATATGAGAAAAGAAATTTTCCAGTGTACCTGAACTTGTGCAAATAGCAAATAAAGCATCATTTTTTTTCCCATCTCATTTCATAGCTACGCCAGACTCAATGGGCGAAAAGCTGCATGCATCAAAGGCACACACATACAATCGGATGAGCGTGATGAGTGAACCCCAGCAAAATTACTGCAGACATTAGGCTACACAACCCCCCCCTCCCCCCACCAAGCTGCATCACCAGCACATAAGAACACAGTCGAAGGCATCAGCATAAAGAGTGATGCTGGAGATCTACCAAAAAGTTACCCCTGATACAGGCACCAGGAGGTTGGTAAGATTGGCAGAAAAACCTCTCAGCAAAGACAGCCTTTAAATTCTTCACTTCATCACACGAAGCAGTGGTGGAAAAAACAGCGAGGGTTAGTTAATAAAGCTTGGTGGCAGCAAGACGGAGTGAAAAGCGCCTTTGTTGCAAACCAGCTTGTAAAAGAAAACGACGATGACGAAGAGTGATGTCTGACCTCGCAGTGGTAACACTCAACATGGTAATCCTTGTCCATGGACACGACCCTGATGGTCTCTTCAGAACCCTGGAATGAGAGCGGCTGGGAGTCAGACACCCACATAACACCGTGCTCAGCTTAACGCGACTGCATCAGGACACTGGCGGGCAGCGGAAGGCTACCTGGGCGGGAAGAATGGGCTTGTTGCAAGAGGCACATCTTGGGGCAAAAACCCTGTAGTGTAAACAGAGGGAGACAGTATGATGCGTTTGTATCACTAAAATGCAAGAATATATCCTATAAATGCAATCCATTTCAGATTTAGGCTTTATTCACAAGGGACACGACTGGGACACATACCACACAATTTTCAAAAAAGTGGTGTTTGTCCCACCCAGTATTTTCCAAGATTTTGAAAATATAAATAAATCTGTCAGGAAAATTTGGTTCTCATCTAGCCTACTGACTGAGGGGAAGAAGCTTTTAGCGGACAAATTCAGTTCCATACGCATGAACTAATGTATACAGTCAATGTTGAGAGGGACAGGTAGCCTATACATAGATACAAAATACAAGATCATAGAGAATAATGCCAGGGGACATATTTGACTCAGTCACTTGATGAATCTGCCTCTATAAACCCCAATACTGAAAACACAGTCTTCAGGTATGCAAACACAATCATGCATTCAAGCAGAAAAACTGTCTGCAGAAAGCCTTAACCTCCTAATTAACCAGTATGTTACATCCGTACCATCGCTTGGACACACTTCTGAAGGCGACCCACACGGCCCGTTACACACTTTCGACACCCAGGCAGTTGTAGGACGTGGGAGAGCTCTTACGTGTGGTAGTCCTTTACGCAGTAGATGTTGTTCTCCACGTCCACAGTGAAAGGCACTCCATCCAAACCCTCGTTACAGACCACGCAGCGGAAACAGCTGGGGTGGTAGGACTTGCCCAGTGCCTGCAGAATCTTTGAGTAACATGAGAAGATTCGGAATGAAGATGAGGATGTGGCCAAGGTGAACAGCATCTTCAATCACTGAATACGGCTTTTAACAGATCCCGTTCAAAGTGGGAGTGATCATTCTACCCAACCCTAAACCTAACCCCCCATTTTTCTAAAGCGGTTTATGAATTGTGAGTGTTATGATTTGGTGGCATGGTGGTCCAGTGGTTAGTACTGTTGCCTCACACCTCTAGGACCAGTGTTTGAATCAACGTGTATGGAGTTTGCATGTTCTCATCCCATGGTTTCAAAAACATACTAATGTCATTTGGAGTCCCCAAAATGCCCGTAGGGGTGAGTGAATGGTGTGTGATGGGTTGGCGTGTGATCCAGGAAAGGCTCCCCTGCAGCCCTGAACAGGACAAGAAGTTACAGAAAACGGATGGATGGATGGTTTACGAATCAATTACACAAGACTTACCATTTCCAGGATGAGGTGCCCGCATACAAAGCATTTGTCTGCTGTTTGCTGAAAACCAGAATACTGTAAGAAGAAAGGGGAAAAAAACAAATTGCCTCATCTCTCAATATCTAAATCCCCTTCATGTTACAAAGTGAAATAATGCTGTGTTTCTCAATCTGCTCCTCAGGGACCCACAAACAATCTAAAATATGGATTCTCTGGCAGGGAGCAAAAACATGGACCGTCTGGGGGTCACTGAGGAACGGATTCAGAAACTCTGCCCTTAAGGACTGACATCTGCCTTCATGGACATGTAATTATCCATTACAGCCATGCTCTTTGGGGGTGCTGTTGCTCTCTTCACTGTGACGAAGACTCATGGCTCCTTTTCGGAATGAATGAGAAAGTACGAGGTAGCAAGTTTCTTGTTTACACCACCGCTTGTTTAGACCTTGAGACCTACCTTCCAAGGTCAAAGCAGTCCACCAAACATGGCATGTGTAGATGCGTTTCTCTGCTTATTACTGCCAGCTTAACAGTACCGCTGGGAGCAGACTGTACTCCAGGATCAATGCTGGGGGACAGCCATCTGCACACCGCGACCCTGAGGTCGTGACCTCCCCGGCCAGGGGTAGAAGGCGCGGGGGGGTGGGTGCCGCAGATTTGTTAGAGGCATCCCTTTCAGCTGCTAACGCTCTTCTTTTCCCTGCTGATTCACCATCTGCCTCCCCAATCAAAAGCTGGATAGGGGAGGTAGAAGCTGCAGACTCCCCCTTGAGTATTGTCTCCTGGCCATATGACCAGGAAATCCTGTAGAAAGTGTCGCATCTAAAAGAACTTTCTAGATTCACCATTACTAACGACTGGCAGGGAAAGGCTCAGCAGATGTCACTGTGAAGTGCTGCGTGTTCGATGGAGACTTGACGCGATAGCAAACGAGTGTCACCACGACATATAGAATGGCAGGGGCATACCAGGAAGTCCTCTTCGCAGTAGACTTTCCCGTTGACATTGTAGAAGGCTTTCCCTCTCAACCGTCTCCCTGCCGGAGAGACAAACAGAAAACAAAACAATTCTTCAGCCTCGCCCCAGGCCATCACCCATCATCTCAAAATGACAGCACCTGCAGCCCCAGCACCTGCCAGCTGTCCAAGAAGCCAGCACATCCGGAAGCATCTGTCAGAGCCTCACAGACCCGCCAGATTCTGAGGAGGCACCTGATGAGGCGGCATTCTGGCTCTGTCCAAAGCGCCACGGATAATTACACCTTCTACTGATCCTCAGGGGGCTTCCAGAAAAGCTTCAGAAAAAAGAAAAATCAATGTACTCAGAGGATTACTCCATTCAAAGGCTGCCTCATTCAATAGCAAGATGAAAGCTAGTGGGTTCGTTGGTTATAACTTTGGCAGCTGCATTTGTGCTCAATCAAATGTGGATTTAATCAATTCGGAAATCAAATCGCCATGGCTACTGTAAATGGGGTTCAGAAAAGCTGGAGCAAGAACAACATGGTTTTAAGGCATTTTACAGCTTTTGGTGTCTCTGAGTTATCCAACACACACATAAATACAGCGAAAGCTTAATGGCTCTGAAAATGCCTGGCAGAGACACGGATTCGATCTGTCGTTGGGTTGGTCCACTCAAACCTGCTGGTTTAACTGCCAAACAGCAGGTCGCATTCCCCACAAAAAGCCGACTCAGAGCAGTGAATCAGAAAGCGCTGCAGAAAATGAGCTACAAGGAATTAATTACGGGGGGACCTTTAAATAGCAAGGAACCAGAACCACCCACAATAAAATTTTATATGGCGGTGAGAAAAACGTATGTTGTAAACAGATGATCCCACCTGTGTCGTCAACCTTGCCAAATAAATGAATAAAGCATCTAGTGTGGGTCAGGGAGGTAACCACAAAGTGTCCCTCGTTCCTCTCTGTCCCCAGCACGCATTACTCCTAAAGGACCAGAGGGCCTGTGCAAACAGGGACATTCTTTCTGCCTGAGGTCACTGGCTTGTCCTATTCATCCCCCACCTAGGAGCCGGGCTCCGCAAGCGGGGAGGGGCCTGGCCTGCTGCCTGCTTCTCTCCCTTTGTCACTGGAGACGGCCACGTCTGTGCTGGAGCGGTCCCGCGGAGGCTTTGCAACCCCCCCCCCCTCCACGCCGCCGGCCACGCCCGGGGGCCCTGCACCTCTTCCCTCGCATGCCGCCCCGGCGCTGCCCGCCTTCACCGTGCCGTCTGCCGCCGATGAGCTTTTATTGACTCCCCCCACCCCCCCATCTTCTATAGAAGCCGAGGGAGCAGCTCGTCATGGCAACACGAGACTCGGCAATCTGGCGGCGGCTCCAGCCACACTGGAGGATTTTTGAACAAGGCAGCGATCGCAGATAGATATCAGCTTTTAAATGCCCTCCTGACACCCAGCACTGCATTTTTGTCCTCTGTGGAGGGCATTGTGTTATTTCCCATATCTTTCATACTATACATGGCACTCTATTAAGTCCCGGTGTTCCTTAAAGAGGACAATTTGGGCTTTATGATGACATCACATGTGTGGGGGTGTGTTTTTTCTTTTTTACCATTCCAATACTTCAGTAAAAAAAATCATAAAAATTCAAAATGTGAAAAAAGAAAGAGCTTTTTTGGCCTGGATCTCCGGAGGCCAGTGAATCTGCAAACAGAACATCGAATGAGCGAACAACAATCACCCACAGACACGAGTCAGCAGGCGCAAGAGGCAGACCGCCCAGCTTATCGCCGCATCCCTGGGCCGGCCGCGGGTTGGGCAGATGGCGGGACTGAGGCTTGCCGGAGGCTTTCTGAGCCCGAGGCCTGGGGAGAAGGTTGGCACTCTGGGATCCTGCCTTTGTCTCATCAGGCAGACAACAACAAAGGAGTCTGATTCTATGCCCATGTCTTACCTGTAAACCTTTAGCACAATGTACAGCATATGTATTTATTGATTGTGTGTTGACTTTGCCATGTTGTGCGTAAAACTGTTGCCTGAGGTATAAGGTTTTGACACGACTAAGTTTTATATAAGTTTTATTCAAACTGGAAGTAGAGACAGAAACTAGTATGATTGCAATGGGGGACAAAGTATAATGATGATGTATAACACCATATTTCATGGTCATCGTTAGCTATGTCTCTGGCAGGTGGGGTCACGCATGAAGCCACCATCCCCCCACCCGTAAATATTTTCACTGTAAACTGTTTGTGGCAATATCTTAGCGGGACACAAAAATCTGCCACCGTGTTTTAATTCCCCCAAACTTTTTCCTCTGTGTGTGTACAACACTTCCCCTGGCCCCAAAAACAGGTACAGACTACAATCCCTCCCATTGTTTCACTCCAAGCCACCGGGCCATTGCCAGAACCGGGACTGGGTTGCAGAAACGCTCCCCGTTTCGCCATGTTGGGGGATCAGAGTGCTGCTTTAATCCAACACGGGGTCATATTTGCCATCACCTATGCTGGGGTCTCTCTCTCTCTCTCTCTCTCTCTCCAGCTGTGTACAAACTCCGCAACCTATCAGCTTGCACGGATAAAATACGACCAGCTAACTCCTCAAATTAACCAGAATTTATAAACACACTTCCTGTCCTGTCAGAACATCGGTAAAAATGAGCAAAAATTACTAATGGGGAAATCCACTAGGAGCCACAGGTATGTTCCAGTTGGTGTCTGACATCATGGAAGACAGGCTCAGTAAGTCAAGTACTTCCCCCAGAAAGAAAGGCTCATCACTGGGCATTACCAAAAGACCAGTGCGGGGTTTGGTTACAAAAGACCTGAACTTTACCTGAAACAGCGAACGGAGGGGGGGAGGGACAGCTCCTGGTCTGAATGCAACCCCCCCCCCCCCCCCCCCCCCCCCCACCCCCCCCCCCACCATTCGCACGGAGAACAAACGAGCCTTTATCACCTGCAGGAACTGCGCTTAGCAGACTGCCTGGCCCAAAGCGCTGCTGTTGATAGTTCATCAAGCCGTCGCACTCCGATGAGCAGGGGATTTCGATCCAGCCTGCAGAGCCAAAGCTACCCCGCACCTCCCCCCTCAATAACCACTGTGGTTCTGCAATGGGGGGGGGGGCGCACACACACATCGCTGAACCGCGAGACCTAGCCTACAGTGAGTCACCTCCAGGTGCAGAAAGACTCGGCAGGGCGACGATACCTCAGATGGAGAAGCAGAAAACAAACCATCACCTCCTCCGTCATAAAGAGCTCTTTGTGAAGGTTACAATCCTCAGTGCCGACGTAGCATTTAAGTTATTGTCAAAGACTTACACAGCAAACGGCAGATTATAGGGTCTCCCTAAGAAGCTCTTCTTAGCTGGGGTGGTACCAACTGGGACAGTTTCAATAAAGATAAACAAACCCCCCACCCCTGAAAACAAACAATAAGCCTAATTATTTTTTCTGGAAAATTAATTTCTTTCAATATGATGTATCAATATAGTCTCTTAAATCTGATATGGTGTTATATTCATTCTGCAGTGAAATTGAAGCATTTTCTCTGCCAACTTAAGCTAATTTCTTAATAATCACCAAACCCCCTTAATTGGCAACATGTCATCTCTGTTAGAATGTATCAATTCCATTACTTCCAGTAAGTTAAAATACTTACACTGCAGGTCACTTATGTTAAAATGTAACAAATGAGCCCAGTGTTAGTGGAAAAGCAGGACTTCCAGTCACGTGCCACCCGAGGAGGTGAGTGGCTGCGTGTGTTTGTTTACAGGGCACACATACCGAGCACGGTCTGGGCGATTAGCCATCCTAAAACCACCACTGACTCCTGTCTGCTTCATGCCCACCTGGCAGGAACAGTGTGCCGGGGGCTGGAGATGGGCAAAGCCAACAAATTCCCAGAATATTTGCTGCAGCGCAAACAGAGTCCTGGTCTCTTGCTGTGGCCTGAAAACAAAGGCGGCACGCAAGCTGAATGGAGCGGTCAGGTGATCTGCACTTTGTCGGGGCGGGGTCACAGGGAAACATTAGGAAAGACTCCCAGGAAGACAAAAATTTACCCCCGCAATAAAAGTTAAGCTATATTTCTTCCCTATTTAGACGCTAAGCCAGTCAGGTGCTCATCCTCAGCAGAAGCCTATTCTGCAGCCCGCAGCACAGTGCTAGTCTGGGTTTATGTCATTAGGGGACCTCAACTGGACGTTCTGGCAGCCAACTGGCGTAGTTTCCCTGTGAAGGGTCAGGCCTGCTCTTTGCCTGGCCACAATGCAACAGCCATTTCCGATTTCCCTAGTGGCTCCTGGTCTGGTTGGGCAGACCCAGTTGACGAGGCAGCGGCAAGGTCTGCGCTGATGGAAGCTGTTACCCACAAACACGAGCCTAAAGCAGAAGCAATGGAACCGAAGCAATCAGGAAAAGGCATGGTTCCCTGACAAAGTCGCTATGTTTTCGGGATACGCTGCCCTATATATTTTGCAGATGACTTTAAAGGCATCAAAGTCTGCAGAAAATGGAAAAGTGCCGACGTAGAGGCACCTGGTCGAGCCGGGGGTCCTTTCAGAGGCATCGCTCTAGATCTTCAGAGCACGACAACAAAGCCAGCCTTTCAAGGGGAAATTTCGTGACCCAGGGTACCCATCAAATGCACCTCTGGCGGATTTATGATTTGAGCTCCCTCAGAAATGAAATACATTTTGAGCAGCTCTCTGCCGAGCATGAAATAAACGTACTCGCAGGACATGTACTCTGCTTTTAGAAGCTCTCAAAGCCAGAGTCCACACCATATACAGTGATTGCTAGAGCTGCCTGCCAAAAGTAGCCAACAAAGCCAGAAACAAGCTCGTGCACAATGGGGTTCCTGTCACAGAAATTCCCACTGCCACCCACTCACACCAAAGTATTCACAACTAAAATCTAAATCTGGGCACAATGTAGATCCCTGTTCTGAAACATCCCCCAAGGTCACACGCATCTTGAGGTTCACGGCAAGAACAGCTTCTGCTCCAGCAGACCTAGTGCATTGCAATAAAACGAAGATGTGGAAATTATGCTACATAATAGTACAGAGGGCATTTTACAGGAATAGCGGGTCAAGAACGACAGTTGTAGCCAATAATCTGCAGGTTTAAAATTCTCGGAAGACCATGTTGGCATACTCAAGTGACAGGTTTTTAAATATTTTATAAAAACAGTTCTAGGCAGAAATGGGTGCCACCGAATTGGCAGTTTCCTAATCCGGGCCTTGGGGACCCACAGACAGTCCACGTTTTTGCCCACTCTAAGATCTGGGAGCTGGGAGGGAGCAGAAATATGAACTGTCGACAGGGAGCTCGGAGGAAGAAAAAATATGGACTGTCTGTGGATCGCTGAGGATCGGACTGGGAAACACTGGGCTAGAGATAGAGGATGGTGTCTTACCACAGGACTGGCAGATGAAACAGTTAGTGTGATAGAGGTTCCCCATGGCTTGACAGGCCTGGCTGGCTCCATAGACCCCCTTCCCACATTTGATACAGATACCTGAAGGGAGGGAGAGAGAGAGAGAGAAGGGTGGGGCATTATAGTGAGAATGATATGCTAAAAATCACACACATCATGGCATCATGGATACAGGGAGGTCATGTTGCCTGGGTCCTTTGTAACGTTCAACCGAAGTGCGGGATCAATACATTTGGCAGGAAGTGGTGGGATTCAGTGCTAAATGACTGCGCACAAAGAAACACCTCAGTCTCACACCTCTTATTCCATCATTAATAAACAGAAACACCTTCAAACGATACAACAAACCACCAAGAATAACTTGCCGGTTGATCGCCTTTCACTTTCTGCACCAACTCTTCAGAGGAGCCTTCCAAAGTTAATGACTTGAGCACTGTAGTCTGAAGGGCGGATTTTAATTGACCTTTAATTCTTTTTTCAAGCAGGTTAAATGAACCAAATTAAAAGGATCACAGAGCTGACAGACAAAATCTACGCACCGAAAATTGCATGTTTGCCTAGTTTTAGTTTGACAGGTGAAAAAAAACAAATAACAGGCTCTCTTTGTGTTCCCCTACAATGCTCTGCATTAAGACGCGGATGTCTGTGACGTGTTTGAAAATTTTACATTAAGGGTCTGACAGAAGTTAACAGTGTAATGGCTCATGAACTGATATGATTGTGGGAAAATGGGAATTGTGTTTGACTTGGCAACTAGCTTGCTGAAATGGCACATTGTCAGTTTATGAGAATATCTAATTTCACGATAAAACCAGGAATAATGCACAACATATAATTAGGCACAACATCAGCTCTTCTGAACTGTGTGACACATCAGCTCCTTACACATTACTTTCATAAGACGTTCTAGAAGTTTTAGCAAGTGTCCCAACTTGGAGAGCAGAATGACACTGGAGAACCTATATAATTACAGAAAGCACCATCCACTGAAAAATTCTTCTTAACTATGTCACTATTATTCCATGTTTGTGAGATACGCATCATTACCAGCTGGGCACCAGCCCAAACTGCCTTTTCCAAAATCACAGCCCTTTCAAAGCTAAATAAGGTGGTTTTGCAGGCAAAAACAAACTGTGCCAAAAACAGTTCAAAAAGTAAACAAACAACAAAAAAAAAAAATCCAAGGAATTTCATGGGAGCTCAGGAAATTATTACTAGTAATCTTTCAAGTTTTGGGTTATTTCTACAAAAATGGACTATCTGTGTTTACAAAGAGGACAGATGGTAATTAGAGGGATATTCTACAGTAAAGGAATCTGAATATTTCTGTCCATGGATGGGCATCAGAGCCCACTTCCATTGAAAAGGGTCAAAATAAGGCACTAACTTCAAAAGTTATTTCTACAAAATATTGTCATATGATTGTATTACAGTCTCATCAAAGGGAGGTCACTGAAAGATCTCATTTCAATACTTCACTGAAAACAGACAAATCTCACTGAGACAACTGAGAAAAAATCTTTTTATATTAATTCTAGAAGCACTTATTTTCTCATAAACAAAAACAAGACAATACAACACAGCACTGATGATATTCACTGATGATAAACCCAAGAGGTAAATGTGTAGTCTACAAAGTAACATTTTAGAAACAAACCTGACAACAGCAGCAGGAGAAATAGCTTCAGTAAACAATATTAAAATAACATGCTTTACTATCAGTCCACCCAGACACAAACAATAACAGGAATATAAAGGGGTGGGGGGCGTTGCAAATTCCATTAACTGACCAAACTTAAATCATGTTTTTGGCAACTAAGTATTATTGCTGCCATTATTATTCTAAGCAGGTGATCAGACTTTAACCCCCCCCCTCTTGGTTCTGTCTGGCCGGCCAGCCAGAGTCTCATGCCAAGTGTCTGGTGCAGCCCCACTGGCTGACTAATGAAGCAGCTTGTGGGGGGCAGGGGTGGGGCCGCCTTGGCTCCGGGCAACAACTTTGTCTTCCGGGGCCAGCTGTGGATTTACAGCTCATTCAAGGATAAACAATAACGGCACAGCCATCACCGCTATCGGGGTCGTCAACGACCACAAGCAGATGCCGCATAAGGACTGTGAATCAGCTCTGGCGCTGCCAGACTGATCGATTTGCTTCTGGGCTTCATTTATACAGGACAGACCATGTCAGTCTGGTGTTAGAGGTGCCCATCTTCTCCCTTGACTGTCACGTGCTACACTGCGACACACGACTGGCTGCTCCAGGACACAATGCCTCAAATCTTACATCATCCCTGTTCTCGGCAAACTGCCGTTATAAAGCGATTTAACTCTTTGGCATCAAAGCCAGCGGCTGCCAACTTCTCCAGCATTTTCTTTATGAGAACATTTCTCAATGTGCCTGTGTGGGTTTGTATTTACCACATTGTGGGGACATTTGTTTTTTTTTTATATATATATATATATATTTTTTTTTATATTTTTTCAGGCCTCCACAACATAAACCTCAATTTTATAAAAATCTGTGAATGCAATCAAAAAACTATAATAGCCATTGTTTGGTTACTTGCAGTTAAGGTTAGGGTTGTGTAGGGGTTAGGGTTATCATAGTTATGGTTATGCACATATAAATGAATGGAGGGTCCCCACAATGATAGGGATATACTGTATGAACTGTGTGTGTGTGTGTGTGTGTGTGTGTGTGTGTATTACAAGAAACTCAATTTTCTGAAGAAAAAAAAAAAAACCTGTGAATGCAATCAAAAAACTAAAAAAACTTTTGTATTTTGTTTGGTTACTTACAGTATGGTCAAGGTTAGGGCTGGGTAGGGGTTAAGGGTGTCATGGTTGGGATTAAGATTATGCCCACAGAAATTAATGAAGAGTATGTACAGAAATGTAGATACCTAATCTGTGTAGTTGCGGGTTTTTTGTGTTTTTTTGGGGGGGGGGGCAAACTAAAGGTAAGTTCAAATTCTCTCTGCAAAGTGATAATTGTGCAATTTAAGGAGCTTAAACACACAGCTCAAAAGTTTACCAGTTCTGTCACTGGAATTTTACTTTAGCTATTCCAGTCAAACTGCAGTGTTAACTGGGGGTTACAACAAAGATGTCATGCTCTGAGTGTCATATTAATTATAGTTTGTTGCATTCCTTCGTTGCCCAAAAAAACGTGACTGGCACCGTTATCTCATTAATATTTATTTACTTGTTCATGCGTATCTGTTTCTCATTAGATTATTTATCGCTTCAATCCAAACCTTTGGTTAGCTTTTACTTACAAAAGGGAGGGGGACAAATTAAATATATTACTAGAATAATTTCGAAAAACTTAATAGAACTGCAGATCGTAACTTTAGACTTTGGAACTCAAGAGCATAGGAAGAATATCCTGAGAGAAAAAGTAATTTAAAAACTTTGTGCCTATTTAAACTCAACCAGGCATGCTATAATTTGTGCACAAACCTGTTCATATATACCATAATGATAGCAGATCAATATATTGCGTCTATTACGTACAAAAAAAAGGATATCACTTACCAAAATATTCTTTCTTCATGTGCATCTCCAGCTCCTTCTGAAGCTCCAGAGTTAAGGCTTCCAGTCTTCTTTCTGCTTGACTCGGTCCACTTTCCCGACACGGTGTGACTTGGTACGGCAACTTAAATTTCTGTCCAGCGACCAAACTTTTGCACGGGGTCTCATAATTAAACGGTGCCGGTCCCGCCACGCTGCCTTCCGGGTTTAATCCAGGTTGCACTGGTTGCTGGGGGCTTTCTTGGATAGCGGGGGACTGCTGGACATGATTCCTACTGGCATCCCCAAAATCTTGAACCACCTTGTCTTCGTGTAAATTCGCACCCAACATCGATGACCTTGGCGAGGGGTGCTGCAGCTCGGGGTATGCGCTCATGGATCCCCTTGAGCTGCGGGAACTCCTGGAGCTATGACTGGAAATGCTGGACCGTGGGCTGGCCACGCAATTGGCAGGTCCTGCAGGTCTGGCGCTGCAGTCCTGGCTGCAGATACTGGACCGTGGGCTGACCAAGGGAATACCGTGAACGACCGCGGCGTCGTGCTCATGATTCACGGTCGGCATGTACCGGGAGTCGGAGTAACTAGACCTCGGACTTGTGGTAGCAGAATACTGGCTCGCTGTACTGGACCTCGGGCTGATCTGTCGTTGGTCGTATCCCATACTTATTCCACTGGTACGGTTGCTGCTGGGCTTACTACTGCAATCATAGCTGTTCAAACTTGCCCGTGGACTGGAGTGTTTACTGGTGTCACTGGTGGTGCTTGCATAGCTCGATCTTGGACTCAGGGTACAGTTCCCCTCGTACTGCATTAAACTGGTTCTGGGACTGGTGTATTTGTCTTGACCCGCGACCACCAGACTCGCCCGCGGGCTGCTCATGCTCGATCTCGGACTGGAGTACTTGCTCTGCTCCGGGTAAGAGAGGGAAGACGCTAAACTAGACCGGGGGCTGGCTGCATTGTACCTGCACTCCTGACTGCTGGATACGCAGACGCTGTTACATCTGCTGCCAGAAAGTGGAGAAAACGGTCCGTGCTTGCTTATACCAACTCCATCGTACACGCTACCGGTGCTGTACCTATGCCCCTGGACCTCCAAAGAATGCCTCCTCTGACGCTCAGTAGGTCCGCTGTAGCAGGGCAAGGCAATATCGGATTTTGTGCAATGGCTATCATCAGGACAAACTGCATCTTTCTGCGGTTTGTAATAATCCAGATGCATTGGTCGGTTTCCATTTACCGAGATTCCAACGCTGGCATTGTAAACTTTGTTTCCCGGAGCTGGGGGATCGTCAGTGCTGCGGAGCTGCTGAGGAGGCACGGGACTGCCCCTATTCTTCTTACTTTTCTGATCGAAAATCATCTGACCAGAAAACCCAAAATCCGCATTAGTGACCGCGTCTCTTCTGTCTCTGTAAACCCCATCTTTGTAGCAATCGTACAAAGAGACGTTTTCTATTAACTTACTTGCCTGGAGACCCGCATCCTCCTCATACTTATCCATGTTTGCACTCCCAGTGAGTAAGACTGATGGAACTGGCTGACTAGTAAGTTTAACTGGCGAGTTGCAACTACAGACAGGAGAAATTGCTCTTCACATGGAGATCACAACAAACTGAACTATTAGTTGCAATTGCAATCGTTGTACACCCACTGCCGCAGTTCTGACATACTGCGCTATTTACTTTCGAGAACGAAAACAAAAAAATGTTTCACGTATAACTGTTTCCACTGAAAAAGACGTTTGTCAATTTCAGCCTTTGATAAGTTGAAAGGTCTTTACAATCAATGGCGCGCTGCGCGGAGGAATTTACATTGTAAGGCTTTTCCCCCTAAGTTTCCTTTAGGTAGTTCATGCATAAAAGTCCAAAGGGTGTAAAAAACAAAGCATCCGAGCGCTGACGGTAACAGTCCTGGCGCGCCACCGTATCGCTCCTGCGAAATGGAGCCGTGCTGAAGGAGCGGGGAGCTCGGGACTCATTTCTGGGGAAGGAATGTGAGGAGGGAGACGGGGCGCGCTGCGTCCCTTTGGAATGCAGTTAATGCTGGAGCGAAACAATGATCGCAAGCAGCCTGGCGAGGGGGTGCGCAGCCCTGAAAGAGGGGAGTTTCTCTCTTCCGATCAGGAGAATGTTTTTGCATTCAGCTCCGTGCCACAGGTTCTAAATTAAGCACATCCAAACAGGACTTATACAAGATGACAAAGTATGAAAACAGAACAAGAAGAGAAAGTATCGGGTTTTATAATTAAGAGTAGAACATCCAGAAAGCTGACCATATGGTCAAAATACATTCAAAAAGAAAATCCCCTACAATAAATAAGTATGTAACAAACGTAGGGCCATTTACGATTAAGACCCTGCTAATTAATATTGATGTTAAAAAAACCCAAAGTATTAATATTAGGCTGTTATCTATAAAATACGTCATTCTTGATATTGAACATACTGAGCTGAACGTTAATTCTAGATGTATAAATATTACGGAGCCACCAAGTGAAATTCTCAAGTTACTGCATCACTACAGAGTAGTTATTTCAAACAATATGGTTAAAGAATGTCCATCCACTCTCTATACCCGCTTGCTCGATGCAGGGTCGCGGTGGGTCCGGAGCCTATCCTGAAAGTTTCAGGCGCTAGGCAGGGAACAACCCAGGACGGGGCGCCAACCCATCGCAGGGCGCGCACACACACACACACACACACACACACAATTCACACCTACGCGCAATTTGGCAAATCGAATTCATCTTGGCATGTTTTTGGACTGTGTGGGGAAACTAGGGAAGCCAGAAGAAATCCCACAATGCCATGGGGAGAACATGCAAACTAGACACGCGTAGATCCCCGGTCCTAGAGATGTGACACGCAATAGTGCTAACCATTACACCACCATAGGTTAAAGAATGTTATTATTATTATATATTATTGTACATTATTTATAATGAATCATATTTTTTTTCCCATACAGTGCAGTTGTTATATTTACTCTTATTCATGATTTATATTTTTCCCTAAAATCCATAATAAAGGATTAACTATATTTAATTTTAAATGATGTTTTTAATGGTATTATTTGTAATATTAGAATTGAAATCTTGCTATCAAGTTTACTTTCACCATATCAGCCATATGTAAATTTTGTCAAGTCTACATCCATTGATTGATCGATTGATCCATCCATCTTCCAAAGCTTGTCCGTTATTGGGTGACAAGGATCCTAATGCTTATTCCAGGAAGCACAGGGCACAAGGCAGGTTTTTATTTTAAATCCATACATAAAATAAAGCATCGTAAACACATTATTTAAACAAATTATTAAGATATGAAAAGACAGTAATAACAGAGATCAATTCCTTGTGGATAACGAATCACTAGTAAGACATCTTAATGTTAATGTCTTTTCCAAATCCCAACTCGATCATATTACATTAGCCTTTAAGGTTCCATTTTGCCACTTGTAAATGGTAGTAACTAATTAATAAAAAGAAAACTGTTATAACTTGTTTAAAATTGTCTATTAATAATTTACAAGGTGTTACAACCTAATTAATAACCAGATTATAAACCATTCATAAACTCTTTATATGGGTAGCAGTTGTTATATTTACTCTTATTCATGATTTATATTTCCCCTAAAATCCATAATAAAGGATTAACTATATTTAATTAAAAATTATTTTATTTAATGGCATTATTTGTGATATTAGAATTGAAATCTTGCTATCAAGTTTACTATCACCATTTCAGCCATATGTAAATTTATTATTAGCTTTATTGTAAAGTGGCACCCATGACTGCTAGTGTAGCACTTGAGGTAGGTTCTAAAAATCAGAATCAGAATCCAAACTCACTTTATTGTTAGTTTGTATGAACACACCAGAACTGTTTGTGGTCCACTGCCAAACATTAAATACTTAACAATATAACAAGGCATACAAAGGAACCCTTCATAAAACACTAACTGTGGGAACCCTTCATAGAACACTAACTGTGAACAGCTGTTAACTATTGAAACTTTTTGTCATACGAAGCACTGATTGAAGAAAGGCTGTCTAAACTGCATCACCTTAGTTACTGAATTAGCTATTGGGGGGGTGACTCAGTGGGTTAGGACTTGTGCACATGATCAAATGCTCACTAGTTCTAATCCTGGTGCTACCAGAATGATGCAGCCATTGGGCCCCTGAATAAAGCCCATAAACCCAGCTCCAGGGGCACGGCCTGCTGGCTGACCCTACACTGTGACCCCCAAGCTTGATTTCACACATATAGGTGTAGGTGTGTCTCATGGAGAGCGAGATAGGGTAGGAAAAAAAGACAACCTCCCCACACTGGTAGAAAAAAAGTACAAATTTGTACCTTTGATGGTTCAATTACTTATTACTGGGGCTGTATCCTAGCTGTAAGTAAATATACCTTTTAAGGTACAGAAATAGACTTTAAGAAACATTTTTGTACCATTGGAGGTACATTATTGCTGTTTGTACCTTGGGGAAGAAAACTGTACCAGGGTTGTACCCTTTTTCTGACAGATCAATAAAGAATCTCTACTCTTTTATCTTCCACAAACCAAGATGAATGTGATCTAATGTGATGCACAATTGAAGTAAATGTAATCAAAAAATATCTGGCAATCCACCAACAACTGGCAGGCAGGAAAGGATTGCCACAGATACGAAAATTACGAGAACAATGTCCCTGACAAATCTCATAAAGGAAGAGGCTGGCTGTTTCCCATGGCCCCTGCTTCTGAACCAATGCACAACTTCATTCAGGTTGAACTCTTTGGGTTGATAGCCCAAGTCTACCTTTGCTTTTGCGATGCTGAAGTAATGTGTGACACCTGTTTTGTAGACCTCGGTGCGCGTAAGCAGAGGCTGGAAATTGTACAGACGCCCCACCAGGCAGTGTACCATCTCGGTGAGAAATGCAAAGAAATAAATGAGGGATATAGGCAGGCGCACCCTTGGAAAGTTGTACCCCAGGCCCTCCACAAGCGGCCTAAAGAACTCAAAGTTGTTGACGGGCCGCCCATCCGATATAAAATAGGCCTGCCCTGCGGCTCGGTGCTGCCCCCTGGAGGTGAGGGCCACAGCAGCCAGCTTGTGGGCAGAAACAAGATTGTCCACATGGACAAATTCAACCAAACTGCTGGCGTTCCCATACACAAATCTGAAGATGCCCTTTTCGATGTAGCTGACGATTCTTGGCTGGTGCCTCTGTTCACCAGGCCCATAAATACCTGCTGGCCTCAAGGCGCATGTCCGCAATATGCCTGAGCCATCGCGCAACGCAATGCCGTTGGCTTTCAACACCGCCATTTCCGCCAGCGACTTCGTCCTCGAGTAGTGATCGGGGTGCAGGTGAAGTGGCAGGTATGGGAGGCTCTCATCTCCGTTCTCAATGACTTGTCCACCAAAGACCACATTATAGGTGCTCGTGTACACCAGATGAGGGACGCTGTTCTCCGTACACGCCTTTATCACGTGCTCGGTCCCCTGCACATTTACAGCTTCGATCAGCCCCCGGTTTAGCTGCTCCCTGCCGGACATCCCAAACGAGGCGATGTGAAACACACAGTCTACTCCCCGCGTCACCTCTTCAACCTGCTTATACATTCGTATGTCTCCCTGCAGGAACTCCATACCATCTGGGACCTCGACATCTGGCGGTCGTATGTCAAACAGAGTAACTTTAGCTCCATTTCTATGCAGAGCACATGCAAGGCTGCAACAGAAGAGAGATAGTGACACTGGCAACTGTACACCAAATCTGGATAATGTCATGAAATGTCTTTACAGTTAGGATTATAGCAAACACTTACCGGAAACCAAAGTACCCTCCCCCACCAGTGATGAGGAAAGGGCCGATCGCCATACCGTCCTGATGATCCATTGCTGAGTCCTGGAAGGAACATTCATGTTAGCCCTGAGTTTAGGTTTAATTAGTAAAAAATGCAAGACATAAAATGCTCAATCTCAACTAAGGAAAAAGGGCCGAAATAATATATCAATGCATCTTAATGTGTTTGACTAGAATGTTCTATAAGCTTCTACAGTCATTTTAATAATATTGTTGTAAAATATTATACATTTACTGGTTTTAGCAGTGTTACAAGAATAGCTTATCACTTAAATTAATGCTGCTTTGGCATGTTGTTTAGAGAAATAACTGTATTTTAAAGTTCCTAAACCAAACACAAATAGTGCAAGTATGGACTCACTATCACGTACACGGTAACAGAGTAGTGTGACACCTTATCACTGCTGAAAACGAAACTTTAACCGTAGTCCACAATGTTCCAATCCTACAGTAAATACGCTTTTGGACGTTCACACCGCGATTCACCAATGCATTTATTTTACCCAATTTAATAGGCCGTCGTACTAACAGTTTCTTCTTACGTATAACAGTTTAAAGCAGTTAGATGACGAATAGATGACCTATTTATTTTTTTTATTACCATGGCGCTCGAGCATCACATAAATAAATAATCTTAATACTAATTCTTCCTCTTGTTTTGAAAACTCGTGGTTATAGATAGCACACCTGTTTATTAACCGGTAGCTAACTTGCATTGTATAACGCGCATGCTGCATTACAATGATCTGGCATCGTCGGACACCACAAAGATGAATTTCAAGCCCGCAAGACGCACGGTAAATAAATGTATAGTTTCGTACCCCTGCCTCCTTACTCAGTCGCTCCTTCTTCCGCGGCGCAGAGCGGCTCCTGCCTGTGGTGAGGCGGCTCTCCACTTCCTGCATGCAGGCGTGACCAGAGCTGCTGATCAGCCTTTATACCGCGATTGTTTCAGCGACCAAGGTTTATCACCATTTTGTGTTTTTACCCTCTTTATAGTGCAGGAATATTACATTCTTGTCTCGTTCTGCAACTGATGAAATTGTCGCTTCAATCTATTTCTGAAACACAGGGTCCAACTAAGAAAACAAAGATCTTCCCGGTTCACTGACGCACCACAGATGGCGGGAAAACTTAAAACCGGAGAAATGAAGGATATCTTACAGCGATTGAATGATATAAACTCCTCACTTGGTGAGAATCACTATAAATTTTTTTGCTGGATGCCATGACATTACAGTACTGCTGTAATCATCGTTGATAAATTTAAATTATTACACTATGATGACTTTAGATTGCAGCGTTTCGAAGCTCGTCCAGAACCAGACTGAGCTGAGCAAAGCACTTGAGACCCAAAAATGCCTCAATAAGGTAGGCTACTTACTTTCGTCGATTTTCGTGATTTTATTTTGTTGCTCCTTCACACATGGTTGCACCAGATACGTCCTTTGTATTACTTTAATGTTAATGAAGAATTATATTCCATCTACTAGTTTTTATATTTTTGTACGCTGCCACAAGAGCATATTGAAAAAGGAAAATTGTGTATAGTATTCTTTTATGAATACTTTGCTTCCCTGTGACTTTAAAGCATCGTTCTGACTGTCTGCCTGTTTATTTGTCTGTCAATCTCTAGAGTCTAAAACCGCTGTATGCTGCCTTTTCACCACATGAAGACCCCAATTCCATCAATCAGCATTAAGTAAAATGTTCACTTTGTTAACCTTCTTTCAATATATCTGTTAATACCATGCATTACAATGTATCATATTGTACATTCTGATATATAATTTACATATAAACATGAGTTTGGTAAAAATGTATTTGTAGTCCTACACCTTGTGATGGACCGAAATCCCATCCAGGGTAAGCCCCAGGATACCAGGATAACCGTTCGGAAGATGGATGAATGTTGTACTCATATTTGGAATGTGTGTTGCCTGTTGTGATCTTTACAACGACACGTGTGATCATTTTTGCAGTTTTACAAGAGTGAGCACTGCAGAAGCCAATGAGCTTTACATTCCACAAAGAGACCTATAGCATTATGACCCCCAATGACATATACATTCTCCTTGCATACCAGAAGGATGTTCTATTCTTAATGACATTTATAATTTCAAAGCATTTTGAGTTATCCCTGACCCACAATATGATGTCAGTTCTACAATACTGTATTCATGCAAGAATTTAACTTCTCTAGATATATTCCATTTAATCTCTCATTTCCTAGTGCAGATTGCCTCCTACTGGACTAAAATATGAATTGCTATATACAAACCCAGTTACAGACTAATCTCATGTTACTTAATATTTTTCTAACGTGTAATTTCTTATGTCAGCCCAGCTATAAATGACCCAGCTAATAGATAATGTTGGGTTGGTGTGTGGCTTAGTTCTCTGAGGCCATGACTGAAAGGTTGCTGGTTGAAATTCCATAGCCACTACAGTAATCTCTTCATTAGGCCCTTGAGCGAGGCCCTTAACCCCAGCTGCTCTAGGGATACCCTGAACTTTTACGCTAGACTGGGTGACCATATTTTGGCTTCAAATAAAGACACTGGGGGGTGGGGGGTGGAACTGGGTGAATGGACACCCAACGGTGGGTGGAGAGGTGGGGCTGGGTGGAGCTTTCAAGGAATTGGTGGCACAGTGGCAACGTGTGTGTGTGTGTGTGAGGGGGGGGGTTTGCATAATTGACAAATGTGTCCACAACTATGCAACGAGGTTATTGAACATTAATATGTAAACGGCTATTCTTTTCAGTCATCCTGATGTGTTATGGTATACCTTTCTGAAGATTGAATCTTTTCCGAAATTCCTTGATTATTAATGAAGCAGGCACGTGTTTAAAGTTGTCTTGTGTACACAGAAGCCCCTTCAGTGACTCAACAGACAAGTGATTCCTTTGTCCATTGGCTTTGTATCAGTGAAATAAACAGTTCAATTGTGAGAAGGAATAACAAAGAAATACTGCAATCTTCAGTAGCACATTCAGTAGTGAATGAAACTCAGTGCTTTTGGTCCTTTCAAAATATTGGGTCCAATTCTAGTGTGCTTGCACATCACTGAAATCTCCATCACTTACTGTTTTACTGTGACAAAAATAATGCTTTCAAGAAACACCTGTAGTAGCCTCTGAGAATAATGACAATCAAGGGACTTCTGTATTCAACATCAACACATTCTCAGTACTAATCTGTGTGCAGAGTGTAATGTAAAAGTGTTGATATATTTTGATGATGAAACTCTCAATATCGACATCTAGTGTGTCTGTCGCGTAATGAACACAGTTATTCATGGCCTGTGTTTGGAAGTCCACGCCGATGTTCTTTAAGTTGTTCTTTAAGTTGCGTAAACGTTCTTTCTTTCTTCATCACGTCAGATCCCCCCGAATATTGTTTTGCAGCTATCACCTGTAAATGCCATACATTTTGAAAAAATATCTTTCTTTTCCAGTGTTTCTATGATGCAGATCGTATCAGCCGATTCATTTTGAGTGTTTTTAACTTCGGAGGCATTCAAATTTACTTTTCAAACTACCGTACTTTCCATCGAAATACTGAACGAGCAGATGGATATATTTTCACAGCACCGTGATTGCTTCCGTCAGTAGAAACACCACAATAAGGTTATGTCTTCTTGGACTGTATTGACAGAATGCGGTGTTGTCACAGGTTTAACAAATGCTTCGGTCTTCGTAGAAACGCCTGAAAATTCTTGCGCTGTCTCGGAATCGAAGGCAGACTGCAGTCCGTTGATATGTAGCTATTGTGATGCTTGTGGAATGGAAAAACTCCATCCAGCATCTTGTGTTTTACCTGGTCTCAGAAAACAGTTAATTTTTCTGTCGAACTTTTTCCTTTAACTCCAGTTTGGTGGTGGTGATGTGGGCTTATAGATCGTTAGCACTTTTATTAAACACGTGCCAGTTTTGCAGGTCATGCATTCTGCTTCCCACGAGTCTCGACCGAGACTCTAATTCATTTGTGAATTTACATTTGCGTTTGGGTATTTTTAAACCGTACAGGCGCCATGTGCTGGTCTGTCTCTTGGCTGTTGCTATGGTGCTGAGGGTAATGATTGAGATGCAGTTTTGCCAATGTTTGCGTAAAGGGCGTGTACATGACCGACCAATGGTGGTGTGCGAGAAGGCGGGACCAAAAGTTAAAGGTCACAGCGCTGCAAAAAACGCCAACAATGAATGGCGACTGTAGAAAGCAAAAGCCGAATCCCGGACATTTTTTTGGAGATTTAGAAATTCCGACCGGACGCATTTTTTAGGTCCCAAAAAATGACATGTCCGGAAAAAAGCACGTATGGTCACCCTACCCTGCACCCTGCTTTCTTAATTCTACGTCGCCTTAAATAAAAGTTTCTCATAAGTGAATAAATTTTGTTACTCTAAGCAAAATACTTGACCGGTTAGCTAAATAATGATCAACATCAGACAAATAAATGACGTCGATTAACTTATTAACGTGTGCCTTATTCGAGACACGGATGGATAGGACAGCACGGTCACGTGATGACAGCGCACTTCCGGTCTGGTCCATCCCGGTCTCCAGGCCTTCATGACGACAGTTATCCTGAGAGGGGCTTGTTATTTGGGAAGAGAGCGATGAATTCCCTAGAACAAGCGGAAGGTAATTAATACGGTCAGCCTTTCTTTTGTTTATGACTGCTGAGAGGTCGGCAGTATACAGCTGAAGTTGTCAAGTTTACTGAAGGTGTCATATCTGTTGCCGCTGTTGCGAAATGTAAGAACCGGTAGCACAGTCGTGGCTGACGCTAGCTTGTAGTTAGCGCAGTGTTTAGCGCAGGCTTTGGCATTGAGGCTAGCTTTTTCTCTAAAATTTGCCAGTTGCCCACTGTAAATAGTATTCTTTGCACATGTTTTAATATTGAGTTACGGAAGCTAAACAAGCTCGGCTGGCTGAATAGCTAAGTAAAGGAATATGACACCTGGTATTCCTTGGTATATTCCTCTAATAGCGATATTTCCTGTACCACACGCGTTGCCATAAACAAGGTACTATATAACGTTCAAAAAACTAATAAATATTCTTAATCAGGTTTCTTATCGTAAATGCTACAAATCTGTTGCACGTGGCTCAAGGTATATGCATGTTGCAGTTGTGTTAAGTGTAGGTTTTGCTCAGGTTTGAATGAAATTTTCATCTTGTAAAACCTTATTTTGGTAAACTACCTTTATAATGATTTTGCAGTATATTTTGCTCAATTTAGGAATGTATGGATACTCAATTGTTCCAGACCCCCGAACAATCAAAACATTATGCAGTGCTTGTTAATGCCAGCTAATATTTGTATTTCAATTCAGTTCAATTCAATTTTATTTATATAGTGCTTTTAACAACAGTCATTGTCACAATGCACTTCACATATAACCTGCCTGAACCCCCACCAAGTAAGTCTGAGGCGACAGTGGCAAGGAAAAACTCCCTCTAGCAGGAAGAAACCTTGAGAGGAACCTAGACTCGGAAGGGGACGAACTGAGCAAAATGATCTTTGGGAGTTGTGAATTTTAGCATGTCCTACTTAGAACAGTCTGTTGGTGGAAGTATAGTATTTACTGGAAATATTTTGGAGGCACTGATAATGAATTAATGACAATGAATATTTAAAGTACTTTTTGTAGTAATAGGCCTATTGATCTGATGCCACTCAAAATATTTACCTGTAATGTGGGTAGCCAAATATATAATTGAAACTTATGTCAAAGATCATATTAAACTTTTAATTTTACTGTTTAGATGTTGCAATCAATCTATACCAAGCACATTGAAAATCTAATCCAAATACAAAATGTATTCAGCATGCTACAATTACATATTTTCTTATAAAGTTACTAGTAGGATGTTTAGAGAGTTATGTTTACATATATAAAATCTATAAAGTAGGAGAGATTGATGCGATTTAAGGCAAAAAGCATTCTCTTCTGTGCTGTGAAGCTATGACTCTGAATCTCCACAGTCTTGTCACTTAGTTATATCCCATATGTTCTCTGTTCCTGTTCTTAGATTCATGAAATGCATTGACATTAACCAGATTTGAAATGAGCAGTTCGAAGTGCAAGGGAAGAACATACAATATCTTGAACTCCTGACCATGGTGGTCAGAACACGCATGACACATATAAAATGTATTGAACCTTGTAGGTAACTGGTGAAGGTTGGGTTAGGGTTATAGTTTACTGGCTTCTATCGTCGAGCCAGAAGGCAGGATGTGTTCCCTCTCCTTGGGTGTCTGCCAGCAGGGAGGTATTAAAGCCTTCCGGCGACAATTTGAATGAATACCAGTATTCTGGGACAAACCAGCAAAGGTAGCCAATGGTACGCAGCAAGATAAGCAATAAATGAGAGACCATGGTGACTACAGGCACAGTGTGGAACAGCAGCAGTCAACAGTTAAACTCTGCAAAAAGACAGAAGTTGGCAGGCAGGCCTGCTGACTGTACATGCTGACCCTGTGAGAACTGTTGATTGATGCTGAAGGTTTTGCACATTTCAGATTTGTTAAGAATTTTAAATATAAACCTCCAATAAGTATATGTCCCTATTGAGGGCCTCTGTGAAACATGTTTTAGAAATAAATTTATTCTGTTCCATGTGATTGATGTATGGCAAAAAAGTCAAAAGAGAGCGAAATAGATAAATGAATGACATTGTATGCATTTTCAGATCTTAAGGCATTTGAAAGAAGACTCACTGAGTATGTTTCCTGTCTGCAACCTGCAACTGGTCGGTGGCGAAGTATGTCTCCCATTCTTATTATTTGTAACAAAGGATATTCTATAAATAATGGAAATTTTGTATGAAAATCAATGTGCTGCCTTCAGACAATAGTATTTAACTCAGTCCTTACTGGCTTGGGGAGAAACTAGGATTGGGTTGAGAGCCATTGATGTAATGTGACTTATGTTCGTTATTGATACGAGTATTTATGCATTGCTTTTTTTTCCCCCCTCAAGTGATCCTTATAGTGGTGTCTGTCTGTACTGCAACAGGGGCTTGGAACTGGTTGATAGATCCGGACACACAGAAGGTCAGTTTTTGTGCCAGTGGTCTTGTTGTTGCTCTCTTGTAAGACACTGAACTTATCTTTTTTTCTAGGTGTCCTTCTTCTCATCTCTATGGAATCACCCATTCTTCACAATAAGTTGCATCACCCTTATTGGTTTGTTCTTTGCTGGAATACATAAACGTGTTGTTGCCCCGTCGATGTATCCTTTTAATGTTATCAGAAGGCATTAATCTAGAGACAAGATTGCTGGTCAGTAACTAGTCTTTATCTCATCTATTATTCGATGTCATGTGCCACTTATTCTTCCTTAATCTGCATCGCTCAGAATTGCTGCACGTTGTAGGACAGTCCTAGCAGAATACAACATGTCCTGCGATGATGTAAGTTTCCTGCATGAGCCTATTCAAGTCTTGAGTAGATATTTTCATTTTTCATGATGGATGTGTCATGCTGATTAGGTGACCTTTGTCCTGATCTGATGGGAGACTAAATCACTGAAAATTCAAACCTGAGGGATATGTTTTTGTTAAATGTTGTTTTGAATAGATTTCTTCTCTTCATTCTTAACTTATGTAGCTAAGTACTTTTTGTTCCTCTTATTTGCAGTCTGTAACGTAACCCGTGTTTCTCTTTTGTTTTTGTGTTTTTTTCAGACTGGGAAATTGATCCTGAAACCACGGCCACATATACAGTAGACTTTCCATTGAGATGGGCAACTTGTGCTTGGGAAAAGTTTCTCACGATTTCTGAGGCACGTACCGGAAATCCACAAGCATGGTGATTTTGAGCAGGGATAGTACTTGCTGCTGGTGGGATGTACCTGTGTACATTAAGCCATGAGTGGAAGAGCATAGGACAGCGCTTTTCTAAAATTGCATACATCAGTCTTTCCATGATACTGGAGAAGCCGTCCTCTGTGTGTCGAAACACCCCTAAAGGCACTGTATCTTTTATTAAATTTTTTTTGTCGTACTTCTTTATTCTCGATGGAAAAAGTTAGCAAATGGGATTTTTAAGCAAATAGGATTCCCACATTCCTGTTTTTAAAATGAAATAGTTTAATACACTAAGGAGAATGGTTGGAAGGTCGCTGGTTTAGATCTTGCGGTTGTGCTGATGTCACCGTTGGGACTTTGGGGCATTGCCCTTAACACCAATTGCTTCACGGACTGGTTGACTCTGCTTTTTCAAATGTCGCTTTGGATACAGGCGTCTGCTAAATAAATAAAGTTTGACGGGATCACAAACATTTCCTATCAGTTTGCTAGACCTGGTATCAGTGTGACCAAGCAGGTTCCACCATGGTTCCTTTTATTATGCCTTTCTGTTGACTGTAGCTGAACACAGCTTAGGTGTCCATGAGAATTTTTAATAAATTTAAAGGGAAATACTACTTTGTGTCATACATCTGTGTTTACTTTCTGAGACAATCCACTAAATTCACTGTCTTTGGATGGGTTTACATGTACTATACCCCCAGAAAACTATTCATTTTTAAATTTGCTGTGCATTATGTCCAGCACTGTTATTTTTGGTGAATCTGCTTTTAGTTTTCAGGTAATATTTTAGTTAAATTGTATTTACCGTAAATACAGACGCTCCTCTACTTGTGAGCTTTCAACTTACGAACTTTCAGACATACGAAAAAAGAGGACTGTAAGTCCAAATTGTGTTCCTTGGGCTCCTGTTTCCTGTCCATAACATCAATTTTTTTTTTCTGCGTGCCAATTCCGCCTAGTATGACTTCTGACCACTACTCCCGCCATGCAGCAGCACAGCGTCCGTACTCCCAGCATCCTAGTTCTTTGTACTTGCGTAAAGCCTTAAAATGATGTTGAATAACGACTTACAAACATTTCAAATTACGAACGACCATTCGCAACATATCTCATTCGTAAGTAGAGGAGCGTCTGTATATAATATTTTTTTTTAATTCTCTCCTTTCAAATGATGGTTGATTTTCCATATGTCGAAAGTTCATTTTTATTCATTTGAAGCATCGTTGGTGGCTTGTCTTTATTGATACCTCTGAAGTATGGTTGTATATCACATGCGAAAGATTCCATTTCAGGTTTTTACGCCAGTGGAATTCCTGTTTTTAAAGTCAGTAGCCATGCTTTAAACAATTTGGTAACAGTAAATAATTTTTCCAGTTGCCAACCAAAATAAGTCTACTTCAGTAAATGCCTTTCTGATATAAAGTGCAGAGTGCACTGGGATTATAATCATCCAGCACATACTCTCTGAAATTTCCTTATGCAGTATAATTATATGCAAATTTTTATGATTGCAATGGGATAGTTTGTTGTGTGGTGCATTGTATAAAATGGCATGTTATATACCTCCGTCAGAGATGAAAGGTTTTATTACATTTATAACATTTATAGTTTAACAGCACTGCTAACTACCACCTGATGTAATAATTTTCACATGGTTCAGTTGGAGTAGATTTCAGGTTATCTCATGTAATAAAATGCAGGGGGTGCAGCACAAAGCACAGATCCACCTTGGAGGTTATGTAATGCTACATTGTTGCAGGGCAGATACATCCGCAGTCATATACTATGGGCAATTAATAGACACTGAATTGCTTAACTGTATAACTTTGGACTATAGGAGGAAACCCTCACAATATATGCAAACTTGCATGGAGCATGGGTGTGATTCAAAACCTCAATGGTGCATGTGTGAGACAACGTTGTTATCCACTGAGCCACCATGGCACCAAAATGTAGAATTCCCATCTTAAGTTGACACAGAAATGCAAAGAAATGTACCTAAGGTTGGCTCCAGTGCAGCCTTCAGGTTAGATGCAAATGCCAGCTCTTGTTTGTGTGTTTCTTTATATACATGTGCGTATTGCTATTTAAACAAAGATCTGGAATTCATATTGAGGTGTGTGCGTTTTTAGAATTCCAAACATATTTTGGTTGTATGGTTTCCATTTTGGTGGGAAAAACAGTACAGTCATGCATCCCTTAATGACGGCGCTGTGTTCTGAGAAACGCATCACTAGGCGATTTCGTCGTTTTTGCGAACATCATGGAGCATACTTGGACAAAACTAGATGGTATAGCCTACTATTTACCTAGGCTATAGTAAATTTTATTTTATAAGTAAAGTACATTCTAAAAGAATGATTAAAAATCAGTGTAGTAAATACATAAACAAGTGAACCAGTGTAGTTGGTTAGTATTAGTATCAGGTATTACATAGGGGTGCAGTGGTCAGCACTGTTGCCTCATACCTTTGGGACCACAGTTTGAGTCTCCACCATGGCTCTATGCGTGTGGACTTTCCTCTGGGTACTCCAGTTTCCCCCCACAGCTCAAAAACATGTTAAGGTGAATTAGAGTTACTAAATTGCCCATAGGTGTGAGTGTGCCCTGCAAGGAGTTGGCATCGCGTCCTAGGTTGTTCCCTGCCTTGTACCCATAGGCTCTGGACCCTCCCCCCCATGACCCCAAATAGGAGAAATGGTTACAGAAGATGGATGGATGGAGATATTATCTACTGTAAATAATTGTGTATGCTGTACTTGTATATGACTGGCAGCACAGTTGGTTTGTTTACATCAACATCACCACAAACACACAAGTATGACATTAGGCAACAGGAATCTTTCATGACTATTGATTTTCATTTACGTACTGCACATGCATGTTTATCATGCATTAGTTTGGGTGTGAATTTCAGATTAGTTCTCTTGGAATTCATAAAACAGCACAGGCTTCACAGGAGCACATGACCAAAGTAGTTATGAACCTGTTTTGTAATTTTTGCAAAGTGGTTAGGGTGGATTCCTGCTGTTCACCTGGGACTCCTGTAAAACACCGCCATGTTCAGATAAACTAAATAAATGGTCAAATAGGTCAAGGTCATGACCCTTGTGACCCCACTTGTGGAAAAAGTCAGTAAAACTCAACAGAACCCTGTGAATGACGAAAATTAAAGGGGTGTCGTTCCTGATTTGTGTGCTATGTAACTCCTTTAAAGAAAACTAGGTTGCATGTGATAGTGTTGAATGTGAAGGGACCTTTAAAACTTTATAAAAGGTTATAAACAAGCCTTATGATGTAAATATTAGTAAAATGTTTGCTAATGGGCGCCCTACTTTGAATACACCTGTTTTTTTTCTGATCTCAGAAACTATCTAGGTTCACCCCTGATTAGTGTTTGGATGGGTCACTGTTAGGGAATATGAAGTGTGGTAAACATTGTTCAATTTGTCTTCTGGTGATTAATAAAAATAAATGATGTAGACCATCATTTCATCAATCAAATAAAAGTTCATCCATCATCAAGTTAACCCTAAAGGGAGACTAAACACAGATACAACATAAGTAACAAGTTTGTAAATGAAACATGAGAGGAAAGGATAAATGTTTGCAAAAAGCAAAGATGAAAATACATTTTATTTATTATGAACATTATTTTACACACACACACACACACACACACACACACACACATATTCTCATTGTGGAATCCAAGAGATTGCAGACAACAGAGTACATAATATATGCTGTGTATGGGATTTTTAAGCAAATAGGATAAATATATGATAATTTATAATTAAGATAATTTAGTCCTTCAAATAATCTGTACTAGTAATATTTTTTGCACAGCAACACAGCGCAAAAACTGCATGTAATTTCCGAAGAGCGCCCCTCGGCTCCCTCCGTCTGGCGTCCCCGCGAGTCTGCGCAGTGTTACTGTGCGGTCCGCCATTGAAGGAGCGAGCCGAAGACGGCTCACATTCACACGACAGCCAGCGGGCTCGCGTCTGCCTCGCTCATCTGTCACGTTCAACTTCTGTCCTGGCAACTCACTGGCATTTTTAATTTTTGCTGTTTTATTTTTAAATTGTGTGTTAGTTACGGATACAGTGCGTCTGTATGTAGATTATTTTTTTTAATTCAGATTTGTTTACGCTCTACTGTATACGGTGGGAAAAGCGGAGCGTGTGGCTGCGAAGCGAGCTTCGCCCGGGGGTCTGCGAGCGGTACCGCTTGATGGATCCGACGGTCGACTGGTTTCAGCCACGACAGCTCGGAACCACTAACAGACTGTGGATGCAAATCTGGAAAACAACGCAAAGTCTGGGCAGCCTCTACTTTACTAACAACCATAACGCCGGTCACAGTACGCCGAGTACGATTCCAGGGGAGAACGGAGGCGAGGAAAACGAAACCGAGAAGAGCGGGGCCGGGAGCCAGGGGATGTCTGACCCGGGGGCCGAGGGCCACTTCGCGGAGCGCCGGGACTTTATACCTCTGGAGCCCTACGACAACCGCGACAGCTGGGCAGCGGGGAGAGACGCCGCCGAGGGCACCGACGGGATCCTGGGCGCCCTGAGGGGTGATCGGTACCTCAGCCATCGGAGTAAAAGGAGGAGGGACAGCGAGGCGGGTACCATCGGGTTGAGCACCGGCGACAACCCGTTCGCTGGATCCGCCGAGGACGGCTACACGGGGACGCCGTGGAAGACCAGGAACTACTCAGAAGGCGTTCAGGGGTATGTTGGCGGATCCGGGTCGGAGCTGCACGGCGCGATCGACAGCTTTGCTTATTATGGCCGAGCGCAGCAGTTGATGTGGGCAGCGAGATGAGCCGAGTGACAGTTAACCAGCTCCGTGATTGTGTCTTTGGTTACGGTCATCGCTGTCGTCTCCTGCACCCTGCGTTGTAAAAATGTCAGCCGGACAGCCGGGTAGGTTTACGCCGCCTCACCCCAGGGCGCTCGCATTGCACAGACGGTTTATTTGACTCCAGTAATCGCCGTTTATCACTTTAGCAGGAGTTAAATAGCAGTTTTACAGGCTCCAGCCGTAGGTCCCCCCCCCCCGTTGGGTTTGAATAGCTGCTGTTTTATAGGGCGACCTGTCTCGTCGCAAATCAGCCAAGTTGTTCGTTGTACGGTCGCTATGGATGGTGTGTAAAGAAGCCATCGGAAGTACCGTGGGGATGGATCAGTCACATACGGTCAGAAATGCAGGCTGATTAAAGGTCCGGATCATCACCCCTGCTGGGTGTGTTTCACGCACGCATGGTAAAGTTGGTAAAATTGTGGGTTATCGAAAGCTTTGCGGTGCTTTGCGATATTGAGCAGCGGTTTAAATGGGCTCCTTCCGTTTTAAATGGCCAGACAGCTGAAAGTTATACAGACACGGAGACCCGCTGTTGTATAATGCAAAATGTAGGAGTCGTTCAACCGATCCTACTGTAATTTCGTTAAGATAATGTAGTATGCATCATACATGTAGTCATTTAAGGTTTTATAATTGTACTCCTAGTCTATTTTGGGCGAACGACTGAGGGCGTATGGCAAGGTTAATGGTAATTGTACATGGGAAAATTCAGCTGGGAAGCCTTTACTTCTGCCCAGGGTTTTAGGACGAGTTTTTCAAAAAGACATTTAGTAAGGCTTCGTTAGAGACCTCGATGAACCAGATGTACTTAACCAGCAGCATAACTATCCAGAACAGCTCCTATGTAGTTGCACAAGTGTACAGCTGTAAACACTGTATGTTGGATAAGCGTTTGTGGTAGGGGAAAAAAATACCGTGGTAAATAATTATCCTTTATTTAGTTTCTTTATTTCTGAAGAAGTCAGTAGCTGGCCTTGTGTTGTAGCTAGGTCTTTCCTGCTGTTCTTATGGTCATTCACTTATTGCTGTTAGTATCTCTCCCATATCTGTCAGGGTCCTGTTGAGGTCTTCCTACATTTTTTTTGGGGGGGGGGGATCATGACATTCTTGCTAGCCTCTGGTGGAAAGGCATCCTGTGCTGTCACTCCCTTGGTGTTTACTCGTCGTCTCATGACTCAGGGTGCTGCGCACAAGCGACACCTCCATGGGAGAAATGTGAACTGGGAGGGCCGTTCTTACTCACTGTCACAGAAGGTTCCTTCTGTCAGTCCCTGAAGGAATTTACGCTGAGGTCGCTGGTCCTGTCGATCAGAGGGCTTGTGATGCGTTCCTCTGTCCTCCATGGGTGTAATAAATCGCTGCACGGAAAAGCACAAGTCAGAATGTAGTTCAGACAGGTTCACACGGGGACACTCAGTGGGTGAGTTTCTGAGTATGTTGTCAGTTTGTCTGAAAGGCATTACACTGCTTCAGTGCATCAGGTGTTCCCCAGTCGGGCCTTTATGGGTGAGAACCCCACCTCATATTAATCATTGTTCCAGTACCTTAGTAACCTGTAGTGTTGATATACAGTGCAAACTCTGGTATAGCTTGTGTTTCACTGAAGCCTTTTTTTCCCATGAGAAACTTTGTTCTTGTGAACATGGGAGATTCACACAACATCTGTATTTGATTTATGTAACACTGGGTGCTGCCCCTGCTTTTGCTGGGAATGACTGAACTGAGCTTCCTGGGCTCAAAAAATTCCCATCTCAGTTGCAGCATGCATATTGTACAGTTACCACTTGAGGTGCCGAGTGCGTTGGACGCAGACCGTTTCCAGATTCCCAAGACGCTCTACGTGTAGCGGGGAGGCCTAGAGACTTGCAGGGCCTACAGCAGAGTGCGAGGTTTGTCCTGGTGATCTCGCTGACAGCCAAGACACACTGTTCGTATGAACGCTTACCTGATTACAGCTCTCCACCCCCCATACATATAAGATGAGGGCAGCTGTTCTGCTAGACTAGGAGGTGGATGCTCCCTGTTTCATTAATATCCTGTCCTCCCCCAACTGTTAATACATTGTTAACTATGTGATTAGCCAAGCCTGTGTGTCAAGACTTTTCACTGGGTGTGTCCTGCAAGATGTAGCTCAGTGGCCTTGCTGTTTTGTGTAATCTGTCCTGTTTGCTTTCAGACGAGGCTGTGATGCTCCCTAATTAGGAGTTATTTCTCATTTGCGTTTTTTTTTTTTTAAATATCAGATCACATGCAGTTCACTTCTCATTGCTAACATTTAAATTTAAATATGGTCCTATGTATTTTTTTCTGAATGATCCTTTGCAGGTTATATCGTGGAAAATGTGAGTAGGTTTTTTTTTTTTTTCTTTTTAGTTTAGTTTGGTGTTTCTGTTTACACTGGCATGCCATGTGGCCTTCTCGGGGTATAACAGGGATGGCAGACATTGTTGGTCTGTTTTTCTTTTTCCACATTGTCGATAGCTGCTGGGTGCAGGCGTCGCTGGGCCCGTCCGGCGTGGCTTCAGTGGCTTGGCCTCATCCTCCAAAACAAACCCGGCCCTTTCCTGTAGTGTAACCTGATCTCAAGTCTTTGTGGAGTCACCTATGGGAGGCCAGCCCCCCCACCCGCACCCATTTAGAGCCAACTTACTGAAGGAGCAGCACCGTCCTTGTGTGGAAACTTAATACCCGTTGTGTTTGGTTTTCGATGTCACATCCTGCTCTGGTGGTCAACACGACACCCAGTGTATTAGAATTCTCACCTGGCTCTGTTTTCAGTCCAATCATGTTGCAGTTGTGGGTGTAAGGATGTCATTTTCCCCCCAGTGTCAATTTAAAACCATTGAGTTGGGGGTGTTTCTGCTGTGGTGATCCACATGTAGTAGCAGAAGGAGGGACTCCTGTGGGAGACCCGGGTTCGATCCAGATGTACAGTCTACTCTTGGTGGCATCTCCTGATGGCTGGGAGCTTGTGCGGTTGTACATGGGACTGAGATGGTGGGGTCTTCTCCATTCATAGGTAGCTTCATTCAGTCTCGCAGCTATTTCTGCAAAGAAAGATGAGAGACTAAGGTATTGTGCTTTTGCTTTCTCAAATATGAATGTGGTGAATATGAAATAGATAATCAGGATAAAAATACTATTGTCTTTTTTGTTGTGACGTATCTGTCTGCTGTAAGATTGACATAATGAAGCTTGAACCTCTCACATTGTCCTTCTGGAATAATTGGACTAGATGTTTATGGATGTTTTACTGAAGAGTTCAGTTGTAAACCGCACGCTTTTACATAGCTTACATACATGGAGAGATGATGTCTCCCAGCAGGAATTGGATTGGGCGCCGGTCTCCAACCGTGACGTACATGTGGGTACATGCGTGTGGAAATGCTGTGTCGCTGTGCTTGGTCTCCCAAGAAAATCTTGTTCTTGTTTCCTGACATATTTGAATAACATAAATACTGTACAGAAATCGGGATAGAAAACCATTTCCCACATGATAACTGGAGTCTTGATTTGTTATTGGTAAACTGAGTGTTTTCAAAATATTTCTGGGTTCAATTTATGTCAAATTGTGGTATGGACGATCACTAATACTGAGTCCACTCTCGTGGATGAGCATAAGTTTGCTGTAGCAAAAGCAAATGATCATCACCATTGTTTAGAATGGCAGATCTTTAATATACACTCATGCACATCCAGGGCACGAAGCTCCCGTTCCACCACATCCCAAAGATGCTCTATTGGGTTGAGATCTGGTGACTGTGGGGGCCATTTTAGTACAG